GAATGAAGTATAGTGTGACGGTAGTCACCGTCACTGGGGATGGAAGACAGACACTATATGTAGTTTCCCAGATTCCTCTTTTATATTGGTCACCTTGTGCCCATTTTTAGTGCAGGGTATGTTTAATGTATTGCTTGTCTGTGCCTCTTCCCCGCCCCCTTTTTCCTGTCCCATTGCTTCCCCAGCAGGGTGTTGTCTCAGGAACACTGCCAGACCAGTTTAAACTAGCTGCTTTGTCCTTCCTCAATCTCCTATCAGCCCTTCCTATTTTCTGACCCCCACCCTTCCTTTTAATATAGTTCTCTATGCACTCTATTGTATGAAAATGAGGCTGTTGGGGGCTTAAGCGTGTGGTCGGAGTACTGGACCTCCGTCACATATGGTAATAACCATTTGTCATAATGTTGAAGATATACTCTAAACACTAAAACAATGTCAACTCAATAAAACCATTTTGATATATAGATCTTGCCCCTAAAGTGTTACTGCTCAGTTTTTGCCATTGAAGTGTTTAATTATATTGTTTATGCAGCCCTGGCCAGACATCTCCTGTCTGTGACACAACCTCCATGAAAAAATAATAATAATTTAAAAGAGATTTTAAAGCACAATATGTTTACTTTTGATATTCTTATCTCCTGCTATGTTAAATTAATTTTACTCGTACCACAGTAGGCTGCTGAAGGCTCTGGCAGACAGTTAACAGAGAAGAAACAATAAAATCAGAGGAGAGGAGAAAATAACATCTAAATTAAACATATTGTGCAATAAGGTAAATATTAAAAGTATTCTTCTTATTCAGGACATGTGAAGGGAGGCCATGTCTCAATCAGGGAACATGTGAATATGGCTGCATAGAGTAAGCGGTTTATCTACTTAATGGTAGAAAATTGATCAGTGAGACTGCAGGGGTATGATCTATACACAAAGAACACTTTAAAAAGCTGAATATGTTCTGGTGCTTAGAATGTCCCTTTAACCCCTTAAGGACACATGACATGTCTGACATGTCATGATTCCCTTTTATTCCAGAAGTTTGGTCCTTAAGGGGTTAAGCATAAGAAGATATGTACAGTTAAGTCCTATCCACTGAAGTCTGACATTTCAGACTTTGAAGCATAATAGTTACTGTTGGTGCTAGCGGACTGGGTATCATCTTGAAACTTGAATAGGGAGGAGTAACTGAATGCAAGTCTCCTACTCTATATTTCTACATAGATGTGTAAGGAGTAAAAGATGGAGGTCAAGGTTCCATGCTACTTGATACAGATCCATTGACATGAGGGATAAAGAGGCAGTAGGGTGGTTAACTCACATTTTAGTGGAGTCCATGGGAACATGCTTATTTTTTTCATATTATACTTGTCTTCCCAAGGGTAATCTTTTAATAAAATAATTGCTAGATTTTGAAGATGAAGAACTTACAACCATAAATCCCCATATTGATAAATAAAAAAAGTAGAAGAATCAGTTACAAGCCAGTGCTTTGTCAATAGCAGTTTTCTCGACTTTTATATTTATTTATACTTAAGTCCTGTGAGTTATTTGCAATAAGCAGCCTTGTATTCTACTTGTCTTTCCTAATTAGTGAACTGTTGACCATTAATTTCAGTATTTAGCGTTAGTTCATTAAATATCTGATATCTTGCAAATATTCTATAGGGTTGCTGGTTAAAACAGATGTGTAGACTTGCCTAAGGAACATGAAATATACCTATAGAAAGGAGACTATAATATAGACTCATGAGACCGCACCATGGCTTGAATGTTGTTTAATTGATTTTTTTTGTGAGTTTGTTATTGCTTTAAGAGTAAACTTAAGGTTCATGGTCACAAAACTGCTGAATTCAAAAAATGGCATTCACTGATTTTAGTTTAATAAGTGTTTTGTGTTGAACTTGAATTTAAAAATGTATATCATTTGCTAGACATGTACGAGTCATTATTTTTCTCAGGGTAATTTTTTCATTTCTTATTCAAAAAATAACTAAAGTAAATTCATCCACATTTACTAATGTTGACCATTAATTTCAGTTATTTCATATATTTTTACTTCTTTTAAACTTTTTAAAAATGTATATTTTTATTGTGTGTGTATTTGCTTCTTCTGTGCCTTTTTTCACATTGTTGATCATTATCGTATGTGTATAGAATATTAACGTGGTAGCATAAGAGTCTAAAAACACGAGGTTGAGTTCCCTTCGCTCTGGAACCAATTTGTTCAATGTCAAGTAAACAGCTTTGACAGAGAAGTCAAGTCACCTGTTGATGACTCACAGTGCTCAGCTTGATGCTAGTTAGATACGGTTAGATAGTAATGGAAAAAATAGTTTATTTTTGATGGATTTACACCAAGCATCAGTAGCAATAACCAGTTGTGGTGTGCCAAAATTGATCCTTTGTTGGACATGAAAAAAGAGGGCCTACCAAGTAAATTAATTCTGAGGAGAAGATGAGAAGAAAGAAGTGGAAGTGGCAATGTGATTGGTGACAGTCTTAGAAGGAAGGGGGTCTGGAGTTAAATTGCAGATGACAGTTCCGTTTGAGCATTTTTTCCCCCAAGATGTTTTTGGGAATTTTAATCACTAGGGTGTTCACACATTAGGATACTTTTTCAGCTGTGTGTTAGTTCGGCACAGTTCACATCTCAATGAAGTGTGAATGCACTGGTCCTTTAGTTTTAACCCTGTAATGCAATGCATTGTCGTTTAATAAATACAGTAATGCTTACATTAGAGGGTTAAACACGCCTCCAATGTCTGTCTACCTGACAGCTACTAAAGGTGCTTCTGCTGTGAGAACCAGATTTTCTTTTCTTGCCCTAAGTTAAAAAAATAAACTCCTATATCTTGGATAGTCCAGTACCTAAAAATAAATACAAAACCTACACGGTAATACACCCAATCAGGATTAGATGTTTCTTTACACTTAAAGGGATGTTGTACTCATTCGAAACTAGCATTGTATTCAGAGGGCATTAAAATGACATAAATCTTGTCATCTGCACTACACGGGCCTGTTATAAATATCTCTGCAAGTGTTCATGAACTAAAACAACATTTACATAATGTGGAGTCCATGATCTTGCTATACAATGGTCTATTAATTATATTAGGATTAGAAAGAATCTTGCCTGATTGATACCACAGAAACAGTTACCGGCTAGATTTCAAAGGTTGACCTGCATTCCACTAAAATGAAAAGAACCATCGGAATATAGTTGGTAAGATCCTGAACGAGTGTGGGATACAGCTCGCTAGAATTAATTGAAGAGTTTTATCTGAGTGTTGAATGATATGGTGTGTTCAATGACAAGTCACATTTTTGTTTAATTGCTGATGATTTTCTTAGTTATTTTCCCTTGGGTCACATTCTTGAATACATGCCATAGTGAGGAATTTAGTAGGTTAGATCATTTAACACAGTAGTTAATCTTCCTGCTGTTAATTTAAATAGCTACTGTAAAATCATGGCTGTTGTTTCCATATACAGGTTTTACAGCCACGTAGTGCTTCATTTATAGCAATTGCTTCTCTGTAAAGCCTCTGACGTGTCTATACAGATTGATCAGGTAGACTGCCTTTGGTTAAATTTAGATACTCTAAGATACTCTAGATACTCTAAGATACTCAATGATGTTGTATTAGAATTATGACTAAATAAATCACCTGTCTAGCCCTATGGATGATCTAGTAAAAACAAAAGAGAATTAGGGGCACACCCAGAATATACAGCTATTAGGAATGGTGCTGCCATATTGACCAAACTATATACATTATACAAATTAACCTCTTAACACCGTTATGGTGTTCTGTGCCGTCCCTATTATAATGGGCTTTAAAGCTTTCTACCCCAGGAGCTCCGTGGTACTTACCTCCACCGTGATCCACTTCGAAAGGACTGCCTGACAGCCCAGGCAGCTCTTCCCAGCAAATCAGGCCACCGGGGGCTATGTGATCGCGCTCAAAGAGCGATCACATGGCCCCCTATAGCTGGCTGTGGATCTGCCAGCAGGCGGACTGTCAGGTGGGTAGTGTAAAAAAAAATATTATTAAACATGTTAAAATAAATTAAATGTGTATATATATATATATATATATTTGATGTTCCTGGTCTTTTTGTGCTCCGGTGCCCAATCTCCAACCAAAATATATATACCTAGTAGAGAGCACTCTGGAGTCTTGGTAAAGTAAATTCAAACTGCTGCTTTATTAAGCAAACACAGTAATAAACACAATAGTCTACGTTTCAGTCCTTTTTTTTCAATCAACGTTTCTGTTTTTTACACTACCCACCAGCAGGTGGACTGTCTGACAGCCCATATATTGTATATATTATAATATATATACATCCTATATATATATATAACATCATACGTCGTGTATTTTAATATTAATATTAGTACATACATTAGTATTAAAATACGCTTAGAATGAAGTTACATATATATAAAATATATATATATATTTAAATATATTATATTTATCTATATATATATATATATATATATATATACACGTATAATTACAATAATAAATAAATAAAATACCGTATATCGAGTATAAGTCGACCCGACTATAAGCCGAGGCCCCTAATTTTACCACAAAAAACTGGGAAAACGTATTGACTTGAGTATAAGCCTAGGGTGGGAAATGCAGCAGCTACTGGTAAATTTCTAAATAAAATTATATCCCAATAAAATTACATTAATTGAATATGTATTTAAAGTGTTTGTGTAGTGTGTGTATGTAATGAATGCAGAGTGTGTGTGTTTGTGTGAATGCAGTGTGTGTATATAATGAATGCAGAATGTGTGTGTTAGTGTGAATGCAGTGTGTGTTTGTATGAATGCAGTGTGTGTATATAATGCAGAGGGTGTGTGTGTATATAATGCAGAGTGTGTGTTTGGATGAGTGTGTGTATATAATGCAGAGTGTGTGTTTGTATGAGTGTGTGTATAATGCAGAGTGTGCGTTTGTATGAGTGTGTGTGTATACAATGCAGAGTGTGTGTTTGTATGAGTGTGTGTGTATATAATGCAGAGTGTGTGCATTATATACACACACACTCATACAAACACACACTCTGCATTATATACACACACACTCATACAAACACACACTTTAATGGGGGGTACTGTTGTACTCTTGAGACATTGCTGAATACATATATGTGCATTTTATTGCAGTAAAAGCTAACAGTATTATGATATGTACAGCTAAAATGTCAGACGGAACAACACATTATTTTAAAAATCTTAATTTCTCACAGTTTTTTTATTATTTTATTCATAATAAATTATGTTTCATATATGAATAGTTCAAGATAACTTAAAGCCCTGTTTCTCCTGAACAAAATGATATATAATAGGTGTGGGTGCACTTAATATGAAAGAGGAGAATTACGGTTGAACAGACATATAGCGCAAATTCCAGTTTTTGTTTACATTTTGTTTTGATCAGAACGTGTAATATTGACTCCGTCCTGAACAGTGGTGGATCCAGAAACTAATCTCAGGAGGAACACTGGCAGATCATTTAAAGAAACAATCCAGGCACAATAACCACTACAGCTCTCTGTAGTGGTGTTGGTGCCAGGAGTGCTATGGCACCCTCCCAGAGAAAATAGTCAGACTGTTTAAAAAACAGTTTGATAACTTACCCAGGGTCTGCCGGGATAGGGGCAGTAGTGTGTATGTGTTTGAGGGGTGCAGTGTGTGTGAGGGTCGCAGTATGTGTATGGAGGGCCAGAGTGTGTGCATGGAGGAGCAGTGCGTGTGTGAGAGGGGTGCAGTGTATGTATGGGGTAGCAATGAGTATATTGGGAGAAAGGTTTCTGTGTGTGAGTGATGCAGTGTATGTATAAGGTGTGTTTTTTTTGTGAGGGGTGCTGTGTGTGTATGTGGGGCAGTGTGTGTATTGGGGGCTTTGTGTGTAAGGGGGAGCTGTGTGTATAAGGGGATCAGTATGTGTATTGGGGGCTATGTGTGTATGGGGGGCAGTGTTATTTATATCTCCTAAAATAGGCAGTGTGTGTAAGGGTGTGTTTGTGTGTGGTGCAGTGTGTATGGGGTTATAGTTTAGGGGGGCAGATTAAAGGTATATTTTTTTAATTATTAAATAATTACTAAAAATATGGTTAAGGTCCCACCTCCCGTCTTACCTTTGTTGAGGTAGGGGGAGACATTGCTTTCTTTCCATCCCTGGTGGTTCTAGTGGTGAGAGTGAACTCTAACCTGCAGCTCAGGGTAGAGTTCACTGTCGCGAGAATGGAGTGTTGCCATGGTAACCGTGGCAACGCTCCATGCTCGCGAGAGGAGAACCCGGAGGAGCTGCAGGTAAGAGCTCCCCCGGGTTCTCTCCCTCCTCGCTCGGCCGTCCAGCAATATGCCTGTGGGCCGGGGAGGGAGATCCGTGAAGGCACATAGCAGAGATGGCGCTTAGACAGTGCCAGCCCTGCATTAACCGGCAGGGGAGAGCCTCAGCCTCACTATTTTCTCGGGGGGTGGGGCAATTGCCCCGTTGCCCTCCCCAGATCCACCACTGGTCCTGAAGGGGTTAAGGAGCAGAACACATAAAATACATTTCTAAATTCTATAAAGCTAAAATCGCCTTCAGTTCCACCATATGACCATATTGTGTTAAGTCCACCAATATCGGTGGGTCCCACACTAATTCCAACGTGGAAGACAAATCAAATAATGTTAGTGCTAAATAGGCTAATATTAGGGTACTGTGAAGACGTGGTTGGCTTAACACAATATAGCCATATGGCGGAACTGAATCCCCATATTTGTTTGCAGAGATAGGGATATTAAGTAGTCTTATAGAATTTAGAAATTGTGTGCTGTTCCTTAATCTATATTATGGATGATCTCGAACATATGCACAATGTGAGTTTTTAACTACAAAGTGCACATGCTTTCATCTTCTTTTCTGTGGATGCCTCAAGCCAACACTATCCCGGATTCTTAGAATGTCTGCAGCAGTTTGTTACAATGCATCAACTGATATTTGGTGAAAGTTTAAACCTTGCTCAATTGGTAAACATTAGTTAAGAAATTGCACCTTTGGGAAACCTTAATGTAATTGACTTTGTTACTTGTAAGTGCCTACTTTAGATTCAGAAAACAACTTTATCTGTTTTATCTTACGGCTGATCAGAGCTTTGTTAGTTGGGTTAACACTTTGCTGAAAAAAGTATGCCAGTTTGCTGAATTTAAGAAATTGCCTGCTTCCAGATCCCAAACCTTTGCTATTCCCTCAGATCCTCCATCCATTAAGACTTCTGTGCTTCAGGTTGAAATAAACTTCCCGTTTCCCTGGCCACATGTAAAAGCACATCACTTCGCTGAGCCATTAAAATGCTGCCGTGTATAGTACGCATATATATGCAGTATGTGTAGGAATGTTAATGCCACTAGTAAAGATTACTGGTAATAATTATAACATCACACAGAGTTAGCATTACTGGTAAGTAATAACATATTTGTATATAAAACCCAAACCTTACACAATGAAAATATTTATGATTGGTTTTATGATTGGCACTATAATTGATCAATACTACAACTAGTTTTCAAATATCAAAATATATTTTTTTTTTACATACCAATATGTACCTAGGAAAATATAATTTAGAAGAATAAAATATTTCTATGTATGTATATGTATATTTCTATGTGTGTATGTATATATATATATATATATATATATATATACATATATATATATATACCAAAAGGGAGCACTTCATCAAATGAAAATTAATGTTTTGGCCATCCTGGGTCTTTTTCTAAAGTATCTTGATAAAGACCCAGGGCGGTCAAAATGTTGATGCTGGTTTGATGAAAATATATATTTTTTAAGTTCCCAGAGTATGCTCACTTTTGTTCCATTATACATTCAGCTTTGGGTAGTACCCTGGCAGGGCCGGCCTTAGCACTTTAGGCGCCTTGTGCGAAAAATCTTTACAGAGTTCCCCCCCAATCCATATATAGTGTGTGTATAGGAGTGTAGTGATTGTATAGGGGATTTATTAAATTAATAATGATTTAAAAACAAATATTCGTTCCTCCTTTCCTGTTGTTACCTAGTTGGGAGAGGGGCATGCTGATCTGAATCTGGTCTGCCTCTCCACTGGGTACAGACCATGCGTAACTGTCTCGCAAGCTCAGGGACTTGCAGTGTCCTGTAGTAATCTGCGGCAGCGCTCAGATTATCCTGAGCTAGGAAGACAGCTACTTATGGTCTGCAGCCAACAGAAGTTCAGGCCAGAAGTGCCAGACTGCCTCTCCTACATTACAGAGGAGCAGACTAAGCAGGGGCGTACCTAGAGCATTTGGCACCCGGGGCGGATCCTGTGCTTGGCACCCCCCCCCCAAAAAAAACAAAACAAAAAAACCTGTAAAGTTTTTAAAGGTTCTCTTTTTTTTTTTTTTACAATTTGTAAACTTTGCAAAACCGCTGTCAGCCCCTCCTACAAAACCCTTGTCCTGTCCTGCCCCTCCTACAAAACCTCTGTCCTGTCCCTTCTACAAATCCTGTACTGCCTCGTCTACAAAACCCCCGCAACCCCCTTCCACAAATCCCCTGCTTATCCCCCCTTATAAAGACTCCTGTCCCAATACAAAACCCCCGCCCCCTTCTACAAAATCCCTGCAGCCCCACACACACATTTACAGGCAGACAGTCACACACTCAGTTACAGACAGTCACACACTCAGTTACAGGCAGACAGTACAGTCACAGGCAGACAGTCACATACAGTCACAGGCAGACAGTCACACATACACATTTCCTCCGTGCGGCCAGTTTATCAGCTGTTTGCTTGTGTGAGCTGTACTGGCCGCACGGCACCCTAACTACCATGGGACACTGTGCGGCCACAGCTCACACAGCCCCCTCCAGCCAGGGCCGGTGCAAGGATTTTTGCCGTCCTAGGCAAAAGTAAAGTTTGCCGCCCCCCCCCATGTGACATCACAATGCCCCACCCATATAATTTGCCATGTTAACTAACGCCAGTGCTGCAGTGCCGCCGTGTTTACATTAAAAGGCCTGCAAGGACAGGCTATAGACACCAGAACCACTACATTAAGCTGAAGTGGTTCTGGGGACTATAGTGTTTCTTTAATGTGAGGTAAATTAGAGCTTAGTGCCATGAATAATATACTAGATTGCCTACTTACAACCAGATGAGGATGATGATGGGCTCTAGCTGCAGTCTGGCTCCACTGGTCTGGTGCAGAACAGGCTCTCTGGAGGCGGTTTGTAACTGTGGTCACAAAAATCAATGTTCTGGGAGAACGGGAAGCAGCTCCATTTTTTGGGGGCCCTTTACACAGCTCAAAGGGTCCAATGAGTTTGTTCACAGGGGGTGGAGTGTGTAGGGGATGTCCTGATATGTGTGTAAGGAATGCATTGTGTGAAATTGTGTTTGTATGTGTAAGGGCTGCAAGGTGTGTTTCTGTGTATGTATGGGATGCATTGAATGTGTGTAAGGGGTGCATTGAGTGTGTGTAATGAATGCATTGTGTGTTTCTGTGTGTGTAAGGGATGCATTGTGTGTAACGGTTGCATTGCTTGTGTATGTGTGTCTGTGTGTGTAATGCATTGTGTGTTTTTCTGTGTGCAAGGGGGGTGCATTGTGTGTATGTGATGAATGTCAATCTCTCCTCCCGCTCCAATTTCCTTCTCCTCCTCCCAATTTCTCTTTCTCACCCCCCCTCCTAATTTCTCTTTTCCCCCCTCCTAATATCTCTTCCCCCTCCTAATTTCAATTTCTCTCCCCCTCCTAATTTCAATTTCTCTCCCCCCCTCCTAATTTCAATTTCTCTCCCCCCCTAATTTCTTCTCCCCCCCTAATTTCTCTTTCCCCCTCCTAATATCTCTTCCCCCCTCCTAATTTCAATTTCTATCCCCCCCTTCTAATTTCAATTTCTCTCCCCCCTAATTTCTCTTTCCCCCTCCTAATTTCTCTTCCCCCTCCTAATTTCTCTCTCACCCCCCCTCTCCTTTCTCTTTCTCTCCCCCTCTCCTTTCTCTTTCTCTCCCCCCCTCCTTTCTCACTTCCTTTCTCACCCCCCCTTTCTC